GTGTCGGAGAGGGTGAGAATCCCGTACCGTGGCGGGTTGCGGCCTTACGATGCGTCCTCGTCGAGTCGGGTTGCTTGGGATTGCAGCTTGAATTGGGTGGTAAATTCCATCTAAAGCTAAATACTGGCGAGAGACCGATAGCGAACAAGTACCGTGAGGGAAAGATGCAAAGAACTTTGAAAAGAGAGTCAAAGAGTGCTTGAAATCGGTAGGAGGAAACCCGGATGGGCCCGGCTTCGGCGCGCCGACTCAGCCTGGGGTTCTCCCCAGGTGCACTTCTGCGCGCCGGGTCAGCCGCGCCTCGGCGCCGCGCCTCAACCCGGGAGCGGGGCTTTACGGCCAGCTCCCGTCCTGGCGCGGCCCGGGGCCCGGCTGACGGAACGGGCCCCTCCGACCCGTCTAGAAACACGGACCAAGGAGTCTGACACGTGTGCGAGTACCCGGGTGGCAAGCCCGCGTGCGGAATGAAAGTGAAGGGCATGCCCTGCCAACCGACCTTGACCTGCTGTGAGGGGTTTGAGTGGAGCACACCTGTCGGGACCCGAAAGATGGTGAACTATGCCTGGGTAGGGTGAAGCCAGAGGAAACTCTGGTGGAGGCTCGTAGCGATACTGACGTGCAAATCGTTCGTCGAATCTGGGTATAGGGGCGAAAGACTAATCGAACCATCTAGTAGCTGGTTCCCTCCGAAGTTTCCCTCAGGATAGCTTGAACGCAACGGTTTTGTCAGGTAAAGCGAATGATTAGAGGCCTGTGGGCTGAAACAGCTTGCACCTATTCTCAAACTTTAAATGGGCAAGAGGCCCGGGATGCTTGAGTGATCCCGGGCGGCGAACGGCGCGTTCAAAGTGGGCCATTTTTGGTAAGCAGAACTGGCGATGCGGGATGAACCGAACGCCGCGCTAAGGTACCCAAGTGTCCGCTCATCAGATACCACAAAAGGCGTTGGTACCTCCAGACAGCAGGACGGTGGCCATGGAAGTCGGAACCCGCTAAGGAGTGTGTAACAACTCACCTGCCGAAGGTACTAGCCCTGAAAATGGATGGCGCTCAAGCGGACCACCGATGCGCGGCCGCCGGCGCGAGCGCGAGGCGCCGGCGAGTAGGAGGGCGCGGGGCTCGCGGCGCAGCCTTGGGCGCGAGCCTGGGTGAAGCGGGCCCCGGTGCAGATCTTGGTGGTAGTAGCAAATATTCAAATGAGAACTTTGAAGACTGAAGTGGAGAAAGGTTCCGTGTGAACAGCAGTTGGACACGGGTGAGCCGACCCTAAGAGACAGGAAAACTCCGCCGAACGCGGCTGGTTCTGTCAGCCCGTCCGTCGAAAGGGAATCGGGTTAATATTCCCGAGCCAGCGCGTGGATGGTGGGCGGCGACGCGAACGAACCCGGAGACGCCGGCGGGAGCCCTGGGAAGAGTTCTCTTTTCTTCTTAACTGCCTCCTGCCCTGGAATCGGTTTAGCCGGAGCGAGGGCTACACGGCAGGCAAAGCACCCTAAGTCTTGGGGTGTCCGGCGCGCTCCCGACGGCCCGTGAAAATCCGGGGGAGCGGTTCGTTCTCACGCCTGGTCGTACTCATAACCGCATCAGGTCTCCAAGGTGAACAGCCTCTAGTCGATAGAGCAATGTAGGTAAGGGAAGTCGGCAAAATGGTTCCGCAACCTCGGGAGAAGGAATGGCTCTGAAGGCTGGGCGCAGGGGTCCTAGGCTCGAGGCCGGCTGGCTGCGCGGGGACTACGGCCTCACGGCTGCGGATCCCGCGCGGCCGTCCGGCGGACGGCCTAGGAGCGCTCCGGCTCTCCCTGCGCGACGAACAGCCGCTTCAGAACTGGCGCGGACAAGGGGAATCCGACTGTTTAATTAAAACAAAGCATTGCGATGGCCCGCGAGGGTGCTGACGCAATGTGATTTCTGCCCAGTGCTCTGAATGTCAAAGTGAAGAAATTCAACCAAGCGCGGGTAAACGGCGGGAGTAACTATGACTCTCTTAAGGTAGCCAAATGCCTCGTCATCCAATTAGTGACGCGCATGAATGGATTCGTGAGATTCCCACTGTCCCTATCTACTGTCTAGCGAAACCACAGCCAAGGGAACGGGCTTGGAAGAATCAGCGGGGAAAGAAGACCCTGTTGAGCTTGACTCTAGTCTGTTACTGTGGAACGACTTGATGGGTGTAGAATATGCGGGAGGGGCAACCCGACAGTGAAATACCGCAACCGTCAACGTTGTTTTACTTACTCGGTGGCGCGGAGGGAGGCTCGCCTCACTTCTGGATCCAAGCCGCTTCGTGCGCGCGATCCGCGTCGGGGACACTAACAGGTGGGGAGTTTGGCTGGGGCGGCACGTCTGTTAAAAAATAACGCAGGCGCCCGATTTTGAGCTCAATGAGAACAGAAATCTCATGTGGACCGAAAGGGGAAAAGCTCGGTTGATTTTGATTTTCAGTACGAATACAAACCGCGAAAGCGTGGCCTATCGATCCTCTCGTCTTTGGGAATTTCAAGCTAGAGGTGTCAGAAAAGTTACCACAGGGATAACTGGCTTGTGGCTGCCAAGCGTTCATAGCGACGTAGCTTTTTGATCCTTCGATGTCGGCTCTTCCTATCACTGCCTCGCAGCGGGGGCCAAATGCAGGATTGTTCACCCACCAACAGGGAACGTGAGCTGGGTTTAGACCGTCGTGAGACAGGTTAGTTTTACCCTACTGCTGTCTGTTTTTCTACGGTAATTTGGTTCAGTACGAGAGGAACCACCAATTCGCATCATCGGTATAGCCGCCGCCGGAAACGGCGATGCGGCGAAGCTGCCATGCGCCGGATTATAACTGAACGCCTCTAAGTTAGAATCCATGCCGGAAGGAAAGCCACCTACCGGCCCGGGGACGCCACGAGCAACGGTAGCACTGCCTGAGCCGCGAGCGACCACAATTCACGGACCCGGGCCGACGAATCCCTTGCAGACGACTTGAATAAGGAACGGGGTATTGTACGCGGCAGAGTGGCCTTGTTGCCACGATCCGCTGAGATTCAGCCTTGGTTCTGACGATTTGTTGCGCGCGCGCAACAACCCTCAGGGCCTCTCCCGTTCCTCAGTCGCTCTCTCGGCGCTCTCCCCCCCTCGCCTCTCCTCCGAGCCTCACTCGCTCGGGGGCGGAGCCGAGGGGGCGAGAGCGCGATTTCTGCCCAAGGCAGCGCGCAGGCCACTGCGCAAACACACCCGGCTCTCCCCGAGCCGCCACTGGGCGCTCCCGCGGTCCCCTCCGGGCTGAATGCGGCCTCCGGAGCGGGCGGCGCGAGCGTCTGAGTCTACTCAGAGCCTTCCACGCTCTTCTTTGCGTTCCAAAGCACCCACTTCACCGTTACCTCCACCGCCCTCGCCACCGCCCACGCCGCCGCTACCATTCCGGCCACCCTCCCCACCCTCATCCCCAAATTGCCCCCGCCGCCCGTTGCAGCTGCCGTCGCCGTCGAGCCCGCCCTCCGGACGCTAGCCCCCGCCCTTTACCGCCGCCCTCGCCGCCACCCTCGCCTCCGTGTGACACTCCGCCTCCCGCCCCGCCGCCGCCGCCCTCCAGCATGCCGCCGCTCTCACCCTCTCCCCTCCAGCCGCCCCACCGCCCTAGCTGGCCGCCCCCCCCTCGCCACCACCGTCACCTCCACCGCCCTCGCCGCCGGCCTGCCCCAAGGCAGTGCGCAGGCCACTACGCAGACACACCCGGCTCTCTCCGAGCCGCCACGAGCCGCTCCCGCGGTCCCCTCCGGGCTGAATGCGGCCTCCGGAGCGGGCGGCGCAAGCGTCCTACCCCCCTCAGAGCCTTCCATGCTCTTCTTTGCGTTCCGAAGCACCCTCTGTAGCATCACCCAGTCACCTCCCTTGCCACTCTCCTTGCGCACTTGGCCGAGGCGTCGCCAGGCACGCACGCCGCTCCCTCCAACCCCGTGTCGGCCTGCCGCCGCCCTCGCCTCCAGCCGCCCCGCCACCCTCACCGCCGCCGCCCTCCTCACCACCGTCTCCACCGCCGCTGCTCTCACCACCCTCGCCACCACCACCATGCCCGCCTCCCTCGCTGCCACCCACGCCGCCGCCACCGCCCCCACCCCTCCGCTGCCCTCGCCCTTGCCGTCACCGCGCCGCGAGATCTCTTACACTACCCTCCACCCCCGGCCCTTGCCGCCGCCCTTGCTGCGCCGCCCTCGCCGCCGCCTCCCGCCCCGCCGCGCCGCACTCACCCCCGCCCCCCCTCGGCCTGCTGCCAATCTCACCACCCCTCGCCCTCGCCGCCGCCGCCCTCGCCCTCGCCGCCGCCGCCCTTGTCGCCACCGTCTCCGCCCCCTCCCTCGCCGCCGGGCCCGCCCTCACAGCCACGCGGCACGCACCCTTGCCTGGTACCGAGCAGTGTGCGGCCGCTCTTGAGCACTTGAGCACTGGATAGGGTCGATTCCGCATGGTACGGGACCCCTCGATCGTCTCACCCTCCCTCACTGGTGTGTTCACAGGGGTGGGGTGGGGGGTCATAACAAACACGGTACAGGATCGATCGAGGTGCACGCTGCCAAAGCAGTGTCGCCCCCCCTCTCCATCATCTCCGAGGAGATGTCGTCGGTGGTGGCGGTTGTGACCGATCGAGCTACAAGAGGAGGTAGTTCAGCAGGATCCGGGTAATCCGACGCACTACCCTCCAACTGGGCCTGAGATCATTAGATAGCACCGTCACCGTCTCGGGTTTGTTTGTGTGGAGTCTCAAAACACTCACGTCCGGGATGGGCAAGCCCATCAAGGTATTTTCCTCAAAGTAGAGCTCGAGCGAGATGTCAGCCAAGTGTTCAGCCGCCCGCCCGCTGCTCAACCGCTCCACGCCACGCCGCTTGCGGCGGTCCTCTTCCAAGCTCCGCTGAGGGCCCTCGCGTGTAAAAGAAAATAACCGGCGCCTTTTGGTGGCCCGCCAGCCACACTAGTTCCGACGTCGTGCCGCCGACGTCGTGCCGCCGACGTGCTGTTCGCACATGGCGACCGTCGCTGCCGTATCGACGCAGCGCTCCTTTGCGCGGCGTGGCCGGTGGCGGCGGCGACGACCCGCTCCCGCGGCGCGAGCGCCTGCCGACTGTGGCGGCGCCAGCGCCTTGCCGCCGCTATCCGAGCTGCTGTGGTCGGTGCGAGGCGCCTCGCCGCCTCTGACCGGCGATGCTGAGCTCGCGGGCGCCTTCGACGGGCTGCGGCTCGACGAGGTGCTGCGGCTGCGCGAGGGACTCCCGCGGCTGGCGGCGGCGCTCGACGGCGGCGAAGAGGAGATGCGGGTGTGCTACCTGGGCGGGTCTGTGACGGAGCAGAAGGCGGGGTACCGGCCGCTCGTCACCGCGTGGCTCCGAGCCGCCGCGGCCGGCTCGTGCCGCGTCGAGGAGGTCCCCGCCTTTTGCGGCAACTGCGGCTCAAAGGTGCTCGCCTTCATGGTTGCAGACTGGGTCTGCCGCGCGGGCCGCAGAGGGAGGGCGTGGAGAGGCCGCTCGTCACGCGATGCGGTGTGGACAGGTCGTCTCGCGGCGCCCGCAGCTGGTCTTCATCGAGCTCGCGATCAACGACGGCGACACACGCTGCTCGAGACGCTCGAGACACGCCGCTCCAGGAGCCTGCGGGGACCCTTCTCGGAACCTTCCCGCAGGCGACACGCTGCTCGAGACGGGGGACGCCGACGGCATCGGCTCCGCCCTCGAAGGCATCGTCCGGCACGTCCGCGACGCTCTGCCCCGCAGCGAGATCTGCCTGCTGTACATGTACGTGCGCGACGACCTGCCCCTACACCTACGCACCGGGTCAAAGGCCTGGGCGGACAACACGGACGCGGCGGCGGCCGCCACGTACACGGCCGCCATCCCGCGGCTGCACGACGGCGTGGCGGACCGCTACGGCCTCCCGAGCATCAGGCAGACCTCCCGCCGAGATGTCGCGAGATGTCGCCCAGATGTCGCCGAGCTCTGGCCGAGCTCTGGTGTTGGCAACCGCCGCAGTCGCATCTTCAGCCCCCCCACCCCCCCCACCCCCAACCACCCCCACCCCCAACCACCCCCACCACGTCCCCTCCCTCAGGCTCGCGCCTCTGATGGCGAGGCTGCCTCCCCACCTCCGGCAGCGAGCCTTCCGAGACGACTGCCACTTCCTCCCTCCCGGCGCCGCCCTCGCCGCCGCCGCCATCTCCGCCTCGCTCCAAGCGACACGCGCCGCCGCGGCCGCGGCCGCCGCCGCCGGCCGCGCCGCCGCCACCGGCCGCGCCGTGCCACTGCCGCCTCCGCTGCACGCGCGGCCGTGGGGGCGCGGCCGGGCGGAGGAGGTGAAGCCCGACCAGCTCTCCTTCTTCTACGCCAAGGCGCTCGCCCTGCCCTCTCCCCACCGGACCTCTCCCCACACCCGACCGCCTCGCAGCGCCCCGTCTGCGCAAAGGAGCCGCCACAAGGGGAAGACCCTCTCACCCCTCACCCTTCACCGCCTCACCCCTCCCCGCCGCCCCTCCCCGCCGCCCCTCCCCCCTCCCGCTCCCAGGAGCCGCCTCGCTCCGCCGCCGAGGCGGACGCCCTGCGGCAGCGGCTCGTGCAGAGGCGCACGCTCCTCGACGCCGACTCCCTCTCACACGCAGCGCACCGCCGCACTCCCCCTCCCCCTCCTCAGGCACACGCAGCTCGACATGAACCCGCTCGCGAATGGCGAGCAGCGGCCGTGGTGGCTACTGTACGCGGGCGAGACTGCCACCCTCCGCTTCAGCGGCACGCTCCTCCCCCCGCCTCTCCCCAGACGTGCGAGGGAGGCAATCCTGTCACGACCAGTGCCGCGGGACTGCCGCAGGCACGCGGCTCGCCTTCCTGACCATGATCGGTCCCGACGCGGGCGTGGTCAGCTGCGAGGTGGACGGCGGTCGCTGGCGCTGCCGCCGGCAGCTTGCTCCATCGCCGGTCGGACTGCGACGCGTCTCTTCACCGCCTCTGGCTGCGAGTAGGCAGCTGCTCGACCGCTGGTCCTACTTTTGGCGGCTGGCGGTGGCGCTGCTGGGCGAGGAGACGCCTCGTGGCACGCAGCGTCTCTTGACGGTGCGCGGTGTGAGCAGGTGGTGCTGCTGGTGGAGGAGATGCCTCCGGGCGAGCACACCGCGGTGCTGCGCCTCGAGCCCGAGGTGCCCGACCCGTCTGTGCTGCGGCGGCCGCCGAGCGGGCAGCACCGCCCGAGGCCTTCCATGCGCGAGGGGCGTGATCGGCGCCTCTTCACGGCTGGAAGCCGTGTGAATAGGCCGCACTGGGAGGCCTTCCGGCGGGAGGGCAAGGCGCACAAGCTGTGGCTGATGCATTGGCTCGTCGAGGAGAGCAGCGAGCTCGAGAGGGCGGTCGTGCGCGGCCGCGCCGGGGGAGGGGCCGGGAGCGCGGCGAGGCGGCTGGGTGGCGCCGGCATGGCGGCCGGGGGGAGGCGGGCAGACGTCTGAGTCCCGGGAGAAAGAGTGATGTACATGTAATCGAAGTTTTCAAACTAAGGAAGCTGTCAATCCGTTGTAAGACAGGAGCTTTCGCCGCACTTGTGGCCACGCGCAGAAACATCAATCCGCTGCTCGCAACATGCTGTCGCTGTCGCGCACTCCCGAGACCCACACTCCTTCATGAACCGGCCACAGTTCTGGGAGGAGTTCATCACATCTAGGCGAAGCGAGGAATGTGAGGACGGCATAAACAAAGAGAACATCTCGCGGAGAGATGGGCGACGCACGAACGAGGGAATCAAATTCTTTATGCTCGCTCGTCTTGCAATGTCGGCCGCCATCACCGACGCCCATCTGCCCACTCTCGCTCAGCCCGACAGCGACCCGCGTATCTGGCTCGAGGACGTCACGGGCGAGGAGGCCCTTGCATGGGTCAAGGCACGAAACGCAGCAGCGCTCTCCAGCTTTGGTGCGATAGCCCTCGCCCTCGCCTCACGCCACTTGCCACGCCGCTGGCCTCACGCCACTTCTGCCACGCCGCTGGCCTCACGCCACTGCAGCACCGCCACCTACGCCACCTCCGCCGCAGGCAACCCGTCCGACTCGGCCACGTACTCTCGGATCCTGGAGATCCTGGACTCGAAGGCAAAGATCCCGTACATCGGCCGCGTGCTGAACGGCCTCTACTACAACTTTTGGCAGGACGAGACGCACGTCCGCGGCATCTGGCGGCGGTGCACCCTCGACGAGTACCGCAAGGAGAGTCTCCCTCCTCCTGCCGTCGGCGCTCGACTGTGAGAGCCTCTTCACCGCGTCGAGCTGCGAACAGGAGGAGCCCGCCTGGGAGACGGCGCTCGATCTGGATGCCCTCGGTGCGGCGGAGGGCGTCTCGTGGGTGTGGGGCGGCTCCATCCCGCTCGACGAGGGGCCCACCGTCCGCAAGGAGCGGGTGATGATTCGCCTCTCGCGGGGCGGCTCCGACGCCACCGTGGCGCGCGAGATGTCTGCAGCAGGTATCGGGAGGGGGCGAGGCGGTAATGGGATGCGATGCAACGGCAGGTGCGCGAGTTCGACCTCGACGCAAAGGCCTTTGTCGCGGAGAGGGAGGGCGGCTTCGCGCTGCCAGAGGCTAAGTCGCGCCTCTGCTACAAGGTTGAGACGACCCGAGATCAGCGGGAGACGATCCGAGATCAGCGGGAGGGGGCCGGCGGCGTCTCTCCACGCCGCAATACTGTGAGCAAGTGCTGTGACCAGGACCGCGACACGCTGCTCGTCGGCGGAGTCTTTGGCGACGACGGGCTGACGCACGGACCCGCTCGCCCGCTCTGCCCTCTCACGACCGGCGGCTGAGCGCAGGCGAGGAGGAGATGACGGACAGCGGCTACCCGCGGACGGTGTACGAGTGGAGGCGCGGCACGCCACTCAGCGAGGCGACCAAGGTGTACGAGGGCGAGAAGAGCGACGTCGCCGTCACCGGCTACGCCTACCTCGACCGCGGGCATCGGTACGAGCTGCGGTCTCGCTCCATCACCTTCTACACGTCGGCGTACGAGGCGCGGCGGCCCGGCGGCTCCTTCTCTCCCCCATCTCTCCCCCATCTCTCCCCCATCTCTCCCCTTATCTCTCCCCTATCGCGCGTACGAGGTGCGGCGGCCCGACGGCTCCTTCAGCGAGGTGCCCGTCCCTGAGGACGCCGACATCGAGACCTTCGCCGACCAGCTGCTGGTCACGCTGCGAACGGCGAGAGAGAGAGCCGGGAGATGGCCCGAGATGGAGCGCCGAGGTGCGGCCGAGAGGAGTTGCGCTTTTGACTCGGACCTCTCGGACCAGGCGTGGCTCGGGCACGAGGCGGGTGCTCTGCTCGCGGCGCCGCTCGAGCCCTTCCTCGATGCGGACGGCGACGAGGCGCGGCGGTCGCTGCTGGTGCCTCTCTTCACCCCGACGGAGAGCTGCTCGCTCGAGGGTTCCTCCGCCACCAAGTCGCGCCTCGTGCTGAGCGTGCTGCAGGACGTCGTCAACGAGAGCCGCTTCTGGCGCTACGCGGCCGGCGCGTGGTCACTCGAGCAGACGGTCCGCTCCGAGGGGTGCACGCCGCCCTCTCCCCCTCTCGGGGCCAGGGTCGGTGGGGGGCGAGACTCTCCTCTGCCAACCACCAGGTACGCCGTCTCCTCCTTCTCCGCCGTCGACGCCGAGGCGGGCGACGCGGTCTGGACGACGACGTCGAGCTACACGCAGCCGACCGCGCTGTCGCTGGCGGACGCGGGCTCGCCGCTCGAGCAGGAGCCGCTCAAGTCGCTGCCCGCCTTCTTCAACGCCGACGGCCTCAAGACGCAGCAGCTCTTCGCCACGTCGGCCGACGGGACGAGGGTGCCCTACTTCCTCGTCAGCAAGGAGGGGCTGCCGCTCGACGGCTCGACGCCGACGCTGCTCTACGGGTGTCGGCGGCCTAGAGGGCCGCCTCTCGCCGCTCGGGCTCAACGCGCCCTGCTGCTGGACAGGTACGGCGGCTTCGAGATCAGCCTCACGCCGGGCTACTCCGGCGGTGTCGGCGCGGCGTGGCTCGAGAAGGGACACGCGTACGTGCAGGCGAACATCCGCGGCGGAGGCGAGTACGGCCCTCGCTGGCACCAGGCCGCGCTCAAGGAGAAGCGCAACAAGGCGTACGAGGACTTCGAGGCGGCCTCGCGCGACCCGACCTCGCGGGTTGCGCGCCGCGTCGCTTCACGCCCGCAGCTGTGAACAGGCGGTCGCACGCGACCTGATCTCGCGCGGCGTCACCTCGCCCTCCAAGCTCGGCTGCCAGGGCGGCTCCAACGGCGGACTGCTCACGGGCAACATGCTTGCGCGCCACTCGGGCCTGTTTGGCGCGATTGTCTGCCAGGCGCCCCTCCTAGACACGCGCCTCCCCTGCGCCTCGCCTGAGCCTCGAATGAGCTTCGCTGCAGGTGCCGCTGCTCGACATGCGCCGCTTCCACAAGCTCCTCGCCGGGGCGAGCTGGATGGGCGAGTACGGCGACCCAGACACGGACGACTGGTCCTTCCTGCAGCGCTACTCGCCGTACCACAACCTGGACGAGGCCACCGCCTACCCGCCCATCCTCTTCACCACGTCGACGCGCGACGACCGAGTCCACCCCGGCCACGCGCGCAAGATGGTCCACAAGCTGCTTGAGCTAGGCAAGGGGCCGTCCACACACTACTACGAGAACATCGAGGGAGGGCACGGCGGCGCGGCGGACAACAAGCAGCGCGCCTTCATGTCGACCCTCGCCTACGCCTTCCTCGAGCGGACCCTCGCCGGCGCGGCCGCCGGAGGGAAGAAGGTAGAGCTGTGAGGCGCCCAGGGAGCGTGGAGGCGCGCGCTGCGCGGGAGGAACACGCATGGCATGTGTCAAGAAAGAGAGGGGCATCAGGGATGCAAGTGGCACGCCGGATTCGATCACATTGATCTATTTATCAAAACGAACCGAGGCTGCCCGTCGAGGGTGATTGTACGTATTTTAGCTTACCGTGAGAAAATAGAGAGCACTTGGGATTCGCTACTTTTTTAATACACATAACACCAGCACACAAAACCTGGTCCCAGCGCGCGACTACAAGTGGCGCGGGCGGCAGCACTCAATGCCAAGCCGCACGTGCAGGCATGGAACAACGGCTCGAGGGACGCCGTTTCCTCCGTGCTGCGCTCGTTTGGCACCGTGCGCAGCCTCGTTGTCGGGGCCTACGCGGAGGCGTCGGACGACCTGCACCAGCTGTTCGACTGTGTGGTGGAGTCGGCATCCAAGCAGCACTGGAGGCGGATCGGCGCGCGTAGCGCGAAGGAGGCGCGGTCCTACTTCGCTACGACGCCGCGGCGGGCGTGGGGCGTGCACTTTGCGCGCGAGTTCGCGCGGCACCGCATCCGACGCGTGGTGTTCGTGGGGGCCCCGCGGCGACAGCCGGGCAGGCCCCTCGCGACAGCCGATGGCGACTGGCCGGCGCTGTCGGCGGGCGAGTTTGCGGCGCACGCGCTGTGCGTAGGCGGCGCGTGGGCGGGCGGCCCGCCCGGCCGTCGGTGAGCACCGGACGCGAGGGTCGGTCGGCTCCTAACTAGCTGTATATAGTCGCGATCTGCCGGCGTGCGTATGAGCTCACTAGCTAGAGCTCACACTAGAGGCCGTCATCGCATTCGCCTTCCTGGGACCCAGCGCTGACTTCTGACTGTCGTTGCTGTCTCTCCCTTCTCGACTGTCTGTGCTTGTGCGTCTTGGGTCCCGGGGTTGTGTTTTTCTCTGTAAGGCAGGGCGTTGATGAAGGCGGAGCAAGCTTCGAGTGCAGCCTCGGTCGGTGGTTAGTGATATCTGTTGAAGCCCTCAAGAATCTCTCAGACCCCATCGCCGAGTACGGTCCTTGGCGCAGTTTGGGTCGACATGGATCTTGGCTGGGTCGACGGAGTCCCAAAAGTAAGTCGCGTCGAGGAACTGCCCTACGGAGCACACGTGGATGGCATCCGAGCGACCGCACTCACACCACACACGGTGTCCGGTGACGGCACGGCGGCCGCGAGCGGGCAGAGGTGCAGCAGGGCGGTCGACAGCATCGCGCCACGACAACTTCCCGGATGAAGGACCAGGACACACGTTTCAGCGATTTGAGATTTCGGATTTGTGTGTGTCCGTCACAGTGTGTGTCACACACGCACACATGTTTGCGACACTGTTAGTAGGCGGTGTACACAGAGAGACACATGCGAGTTGCGACGTCCCGCGCCGCGGGATTTTCTTTTTGCTTTTATCAAAGCGGAGCGGAATCAGATCGCACTTCTCACCTGAGTTACGTAATACTACACTGACCTCTCCTTCTCTTGCCAAAAACGAATGTCCTGCGTGAGCCCGAGATACGCCTCGCACGAGAGCGAGGCGCGGCCGACTCAAGGCGACCGCCTACCTCTCTCCCCGCACCTCTCCTCTCTCCCCGCGCACCGCACACGCACCGCGGCTGAGAGCGACCAGCTACATGCCCTCGGCGGCGGCAGCTGAGAGCAGCAATAGGGTACACCACCGTCGCTCGCACGGGAGGGGCGAGAGGCGGCCTGCGGCGGCGGCCTGGCCGGGCACAGCGCCGCCGGAGCCAGAGCCGGGGCGGCAGCAGGAGGAGGGGAGGTGGCGGGCCGCGCGGCCAGCCCTCCCCCCGCCTCCAGCAGAGCGCCTCCAGCGACTCCTCCGCCCTCTCGCCCCCCCGCCCGCCCTCGCCTCCTCCGTCAGAACTCCTGCGTGGCTGTGAGCGGCCGCGACAGCGAGTCCTCGTCCGCCGCCTCGAGCGCGCGCGCCTTGGCGGCCGCCTCGCCCGCGCCGCCGCCGAGCGGCGACGCGCCCGTGATCGAGAACTGGGAGGCGGGGAGGCTTGACGCGGCCGGCGACATCGCGACCGTGTCGGCGGAGGAGGCCATGCAGTGGAAGGAGCCGAAGAAGCCGCTGTTCCAGCCGCCGCCCACCGAGCCGCCGAGGGAGGTGGGCGGCCGCTCCGCCTCGCCGCCGGTCGGCACGTGCGGCTGGGCGATGAAGGTTGCGTACAGCGACGGGGCGATCGAGGCGAGCGGGGTCGGGTCCTCCGCGTAGCAGACGTACAGCGCGGCGACGCCGGCCTGCACCGTCGTGCCAACCACCGAGAGCGCGGCGTACCCGATGGCGAAACCCGCGAGCTGCGCCTGCCACCAGAGCGCCGCGCGAGATCTGGGGAGAGATGGGTAGATAGGGAGAGATGGGGAGAGGTGGGGAGAGATGGGGAGAGATGAGCTGCGCCTGCCACCAGAGCGCCGAGCGAGATCTGGGGAGAGATGGGTAGATAGGGAGAGATGGGGAGAGATGGGGAGAGATGAGCTGCGCCTGCCACCAGAGCGCCGAGCGAGATCTGGGGAGAGATGGGTAGATGGGGAGAGATGGGGAGAGATGGGGAGAGATGAGCTGCGCCTGCCACCAGAGCGCCGAGCCGGCCCCGAACGCCGCGCGGCCCCACATGCCGCACAGCGCGGCGCAGGCGAGACCGCCCGCTGCGCAGCCCAAGCTGAGGGCGGAGGCGACGAGGTCTCGCTGCAGCAGCGCCTACAGAGGAGTGGACTCCCTCGACACGCGGAAGGACATCCAGAAGCGACGCCTCGCTGCAGCAGCGCCTCGACGCCCGAGTGGTGGACGAGGAGCGTCCACGTGTCTCGCGAGGCGCGCGTGAAGGTCTTGCCGTAGAGGGCGACCTGCGTGTACGCGTACTCGTTGCAGAAGCGCAGCAGCACGTCGACAAAGCCGAGCACGCAGAGGCACCCCGACCTGAGGCAGCTCAACTCTCACCCCTCACCAGGAGGGGCCCGTGTGCTCCGCCCAGCGCGCGGAGGCGGGCCCCACCGCACTCCGGCGCCGCAAGGCGCGTGGCGCGACGCGACGCGCGAGAGGACGCGCGTGGTCTGCAGCGAGGACGCGAGGAGCGCGCCGAGGCAGAGCGAGCCGAACGAAGTCGTCACCGCGCGGCGGAGGGCTCGCTTGGTCGGCGAGGGCGGCACGTGCGGCGAGAGAAAGTACCACGACGCGACGGTGCCTGTTCATCCACTGACTCAAGATTGGCGGACTGCCGAGGAGTAGAACGTACCGGGAGGCGGCGGTGCCGGCGACGGTCGCGTGCACTACCGCCTTGATGGTCTGCAGCGTCCAAAAGAAAGAGAGGAGGAGGAGGGAGGAGGCGGCGGCCTGGCGCGGCAGCTGCGCCGTCGCGGCGAGCGCCGCCGACCAGAGCACCGCGTAGAGCATCGCCGCTGCCGCCGCGGCGGCGGCGAGGGCGAGCGTGGCGGGGTAGGCGCGCAGGACGTGGGCGACAGCGGAGAGGAGGCAGGCGGAGAAGTCGAGGAAAGAGCGGTGGTAGAGGAGGTAGGCGACGGAGCCTTTTGGAAGTTGTTTTTGGGGTGCGGTGGGGGTGAAGAAAGGGGGGGGGGGGGGGGTAGGGGAGGCCCAGGGGAAGCGGGAGGCTGCCCGTAGAGGCGGATGGGCTGGAGGCGAAAAGGGGGCCCGGGAGGGGCCGGGGAGGGGCGAAGGGGGCCCAGGGGGCCAAGAGGAGGTTAGGGCGGGGGAGGTGCCCCAAGGCAGAGGCAGAAGGAGGCGAGGCCGAGCGCGGTCCCCCCCGCGCCGCCGAGCGAGAAGAGCCTACGGGGAGCGTCCGGGCAAGGGTGGGAAAGGGGCCGGGAGAGGCGGCTTCCCCGGAAAAGGCAGGAGCTGGCCCCAGGCGGCTTTTGGAAGGCCCAGGGCCGTGGCAAGGGCGCCCCCCCTCCAAATGAGGACCCGTGAAGGGGGGGGGGGGGGGGGG